TTTCCCATAAACTCACCCATTCATCGATCCATCCACACACTCGTTTATCCAACCACCCATTTTCACACCCCTTATCTACACAACTATCCATCCTTCCATCCCTCATCCGCACAACTATCCATCTACATATTCTCCCATCAATCCATCACTCATCTATCCATCCACCCGCCCTCCCATCGATCCATCCAGAAGTCATCCACTCTCCCATTCATCCACTTACCAATCCAAACTTTTCTTCACCCATCCTCCCATTGATCCAATACTCACCCACCGAACCACTCACCCATCCATCTACCCACTCACTCATCGATCAACCCACCCACACATGGATGGATCATCCTCCCATTCACCTATCCATTCATCCTTCCACCTACCAATTTACCCTTCAACCCAACCACCCAACCATAGATCCACCCGCCCATCCATTCATTCACCCTTCCACCTGCCTGTCCATGTTTCCATTCCACCCGACTATCTACCCATCCACCCTCCCTTCGATCACTTACCCATTTACCAACCAGTCATCCACTCGCCAATACATCCTTCCACCTACCCAACCATAGATCTATCCACCCGCTTACCCATTACTCACCCATCCACCCACCCAACCATCCATCTATCAATTCACTCATTCACCGATCCACCCAGCTGTTCATCCAACCACTCATTCTCACACTCCTTACCCACCCAACTATCCATTCATCCATCCTTCCACCCCTGATACAGCCAACTATCCATCTATTCCTTCTCCCATCCATCCATCCACCGATCCATCCACAAGTCATTCACTCACCCATTCATCCACTTACCAATCCATCCTTCCTTCCACCCGCCCTCCTACTGATTTATCTGCAAGTAATCCACTCTACCATTTATCCATTTACCAACCCATCCTTCCTTCCACCCACCCTCCCATCGGTCTATTACTCATCCACCGACCCACTCACTCATCACCCATCCAACCACCCATTCATCGATCCATCCACACACCCATTCTTCCATCCCTCATCCACCCAACAATCCATCCACCTACTCACCCACTCATTGATCTACCTACCCACCCAACCATCGATCCATCTTCCCATCCACTCACCCATCTATCCTTTTACCAACCAATCTACCCTTTCACACATCTAGCCAAACATAGTTCCATCCATCAACCCACTCTTTCCTCATCCACCATAACTATCCATCCTTCACTAACCCACCCAACTATCCACCCACTCACCCATCTATCCTTCTACCAACCAATCTACCCTTTCACCCATCTAGCCAAACATAGTTCCATCCATCAACCCATCCTTCCCTCATCCACCATATCTATCTATCCTTCACTCACCCATCCAACTATCCATCCATCCTTCACTCACCCATCCACCCTCCCATACATGCACTCATCTATCCTTCTACCAACCAATCTACCCTTTCACCCATCTAGTCAAACATAGTTCCATTCATAAACCCACCCTTCCCTCATCCACCATATCTATCCATCCTTCACTCACCCATCCAACTATCCATCCATCCTTTACTCACCCATTTAGCCAAACATAGTTCCATTCATCAACCCACCCTTCCCTCATCCACCATAACTTCACACATCGGAAAAGTCTAGGGATACTTTTAAAAATGGCAATAATGTTTTTTTAGATCGCTTTAGGGAAAAAAAGTTGACGGGTGATTATTAAACGAATGTAACTTACAACAAAATTTATTAAATGGTCAAAAATACTGAGTGCGCATATAAACAAAACTAAAAAAAAATATGGCTCTTCTTTGGCACCCCGAAAAAAAATCATAATACAAAAAAAATTGGAATCAGTACAAAGTATGGCCTCCACGCTGGTTTATTAAGGCCCTACATCNACCCACCCTTCCCACATTCACCATAACTATCCATCCTTCACTCACCCATCCAACTATCCATCCATACTTCCACCCATCCACCTATCTACGTATCTGTCTATTCATCAAGTAAACGTGCCCACAAGTGATTGTACTAATAAAAAACTTGAAAAAATTTGGTTTTTGATGTCGCCACCTCGAATTCGACTAATACTGTCACTCGAAACCGCACTTCCATGACCTACTTGGAGATGCAACCCACTTTGCTTGGCTGTAATCTCAATCTGCTCTTAATAATTTATCTCCCATCTTGACAAGACGTCTAGACTTATTACCGAAAGCACCGAGATCGCAAATCACAGAAAATTAATTAACACCGCTTAAACGTTAATGGATCAACACGGTGAGAGCTGAAGAAATTGGCGACCAGCTGCGAAATTGATTAATCTTAAGGCAACGGAATTATATTTGCAAGATTGATTTTTTTCTCGTGATGTTGTAATGTTCTCAGAAATCAGTTAATATTCAGATACAGGACTAAATCAGACTTATACTTTTTACTGTTGATATTTGAAACGGCTTTAGACGTTTAATGCTTTGGCTCGCTAAACAGTTTCTTCATTCTACAGACCAGACTATAACAATATCCATATCGTAAAATATAACGGTACGAATTGTTTCTGTCTTCTATCCTCAACAGTAAATATACAAAGGAAGGATCTAAAATAGTGCCGCAGTAATCCACATCAATTGTTGTTGCAACACTTGCAATCCGCAACATATGGCCGATCGATTAGAGAAAAATATTAGCCCCAACAAACAAACTCATCGCGGGATGTTGAAACATTTTAAATGTTTCGAAACTCAACCCGATTAGAGAAACTGAAAACAGACGGTATAGACAGGAGAAGCGTAGTCGATATTGGTAAATATGTCGAAAAGTAGGTTGCAATTATTAAGAAAATAAATCAATGCTTCATTGACGAGTTGCTGAAGATAAGTTGACCTAACAGGCCAATACAAATCTATAAATAAACCGGCTGTATGTGCATGTATGTTCGATGTTTTAATGCCCGGATGTTAGAATTATATTTATGAAGCATATCGACTGTCGCTTAATCCAGAAAATAATTTTATCGCATATAGCACTTCATCAGTTTGGTGTAACTAAGTGCAAGGATGGACAACGCTTGTTTTCAAAGCACGCATGTCTGCACACCTGTATTTTTTGATTCCTTGCATTTTTGCAACCAAGTGTTGTGTATCCTTGTACTTAGCCATATTGATGAGGACTATATATTCCGAAACACATGTCTATGGTTTTGTTCATTCATCAATTTCTATTTTGTCCCTTTGAAAGTAGTCTCCCTCAGGCAAGGTACACTTGTGCCAGTGTTTTTCCCAATTCTCGAAGCGTTTCTAATATGCACTTTATGATATGTCCTTGAGCTCTTTCACCGAATCGCTTTTTATCTCCTTAATAGTCGCGAAACGCCCTTTCACGGGACTCTTCAATTTTGGGAACAGGATAAAGTCGCAGGGGGGCAAATCTGGTGAATACGGTGTCTGAGGCATGAAAACGGTGTTGTTTCTGTCCAAAGAAACACGATCCAACAATGACGAATGAGCAGGTGTGTTATCGTGATGCCAAAGCCCTGAACTGCTTTTCCACAAAACCGGACGTTTTCTTTGTATTGCTTCTCGCAAGCGGCGCATAACTTCAAGATAATACTCCGATAATTGTGGAATTAGCCAAACGTTACACCCATGCTCAATCTCTAAAGAGATCGGATGGATTCAAAGGATGCAGTCTTGTCAGGATCACCCTGGGCGACCCTGAGAAGCTGTAGGCTTTCTGACTGACCACTGTCAACTGAAGAAACACCTCCATAATATGGGGTTAGTGGTCACACCCCTATGCAGGATGTGTGAGATGCATGCGAGTGTCTGGAGTATGGAGAGTCTTGGCCTACACCTGCCGATATAAAGATGTCTCCCAGAGACCTGTCCACCTTCCTGGAAAGGACAGCATGGACGATTACCTAGGAGGACAACTCCTCGGGAGGATGTACAATGGGTCACCTGTAGCCTAAGTGCTGTGGGCCTACACTCAACCTCCCAACTCCTCTTATCTTGCATTTGCTCAGATGCCTTGCGGTACCCGACAAAATAGTGAGATGCATTGAACAACTGATACCACTTTGGCAAACTCGCTTCACCGTAAAATCTGGTCAAGCAAGAGTCCAAACAGGGTGGGTCACTTTCAAAAGGGGTGTATTTCAGTGTGATTCCCTCAGTACCCTTCTCTTCTGCATCTCACTATTGCCATAACCCGTTGCGTTCAGAAATACTCGGGGGTATAACTGTGGCACCCCCGGAAACCGGAGGCACAAGGTCACCCGTTTGTTTTATACGGATGATCTTAAACTTTATGCCTCTGACGAGAAGTATCTCCATCAGTCCTTGAGGGTGGTGGAAGAGTAAACGCATGCTATCGGTATGGAATTCGGGATAGACAAATGTGCAATGGTCCATCTGAAAAGAGGACGATGCGGAAACTACGGAGAGGATGTGCAGCTCGTAGATGGAAGCATCCTACACCATCAGGATGCCGGAGAGACGTATACTTACCTCGGGGTGGAAAAACTCAACTCACAAGAGGTAACAGCAGTGAAGAACTCTCTCCGCGGCAAGTATCAGCACAAACTTCGACAGATCTGGTCATCGGAACTGTCGGNTAGTTTGTTTTTTTATCTACAGACGCAGCATTATTACAATTTCTGTTGATTTTTCTTATTCTTTATGTTTATAAAAATGAAAACCGATTTTATTTATTGATGCAATCAATAATAAAAAAAAAGTTTCGTGAACTCTTTTCATTTCATAAAACGCATTTGTTGATCAACGATTCATTTTTAAAATTAACATCAAGAAACCAATTTCCATTGAAAAAATGACTATTTCCACCGTTCTTTCGTATTCCTAAAAAATCTAGTTTTCCATTTGTGTATTCAATAGATAATTTGTTATAAACAAGTGAATTTATTACTATTAGTAGGTTATATTTCCTTTCAGGTATGCAAATAAATAAGTCACCGTGATCATATGGATCTGTCGCTTTTCAAGTGTTCAAAAAATCTATATTCACCACTTACCTGTCAATCAAAACTTGCATTTCATCGTAAAAACATTGTGCCACTGCGTTACTGTCGATTTTCCCATGTCTGGATGCAAGCCTATAGAAATAAATCTGTCACTGACTCAAATAAAGTTTTGATTTCGAAATTAGTTCACAAAACCTCCAGTAGCTTGACTACATTTTTTTGTTTCTTCTTTCATTATTTTCAAACAAAAAACCTGCCACTCTGCCAAATATCGATAATACGAAAAAAAAATTACAACTATTGTAGAAAATTTAATTTTGAACAACTTTTGTTTCCAATACGGTTTTTGACAGATCACGCGTGAATCGTGTCTTGTGCCATTGTCAAACTTGTTTAGTTCGGTCTATAATTTAACCATGAATCGACTTACAAATGAACAACGCTTGCAAATTATTGGATTTTATTATCAAAATTCATGCTCGGTGAAGAAAGTGCGTCGTGCACTTCGTCCAATTCATGGGCAGTTTCGTCGGCCTACTGAGCTATTCGGAAACTTGTGAGTAAATTTCGAACCCAGTTTACATTATTGGACAATAAACCACCAACACGCATACGTAGAGTGAGGACCGAAGAAAATATTGCGGCTGTATCCGCCAGTTTTCGTGATGACCGTGAAATGTCGATTCGCCGCCGTTCGCAAAAATTGGGCCTCTGTAACGACACTGTGTGGAAAATTTTGCGAAAGGATTTGGGTGTAAAACCTTATAAGATACAGCTGTGCAAGAATTGAAGCCACACGACCTCCCACAACGTCTAACAATTGGTGAATAGACGCTAGCAAAGTTGAGGAAGATCCACATTTTTATCGAAAAACTGTGTTCAGTGACGTGTTCTGGTTGAATGGATACGTTAACAATTGGACATGCCTGACATGTGGTTTCAACAAGACGGTGCCACATGCCACACGGCACGCGAAACAATGGCCCAATTAAGAGCCGCTTTCGGTGAACAGTTTATCTCACGTTTGGGGCCAGTCAATTGGCCGCCTAGATCGTGTGATTTAACGCCTTTGGATTATTTCTTGTGGGGTCATGTTAAGGCTCATGTCTACAGGGATAAACCAGCAACGACTGGTTGGCTCTGGAATCCAATATTGAAGCATTTATACGTGAAATACTGGTCGATATGTTAGAGAGAGTATGCCAAAATTGCACTTTGCGCTTTTGCATGAAATCATCTTCAAACATTAAATTTTATTGATCGTTCTATCGATTTCAATGAAGATTTCATCAATTTTTTCAATTTTTTTTTGTTTTGAAAATCAAATCCTATACCTCTTTAAAAATCATCCGTTATAAAACCAGTAACCCCCAAAAAAATCCAGAAAGAAAATTGCCAGTAACTTGTTTTGCGTTGCCCCTTTTTTACACTAATTTGACTACTGATTTTACTTAATCATAGAAAGTGTGTATGTCAGTCAAATGGATTTACACTAATTGAAGTACCAGGTATTTAGTATAAAGAGAAATTTAACAGCAACCGCGACTGAATTTCTATTTAAAGAATAAATTATATCGAAGGAAAAAATGGAACGAAAGCAAAATTAAATGGTCAGACTGATCTCCATGTCAAAATAGTGACTGATTCCCGACTTTTATTTACAGGCTTACATTTCGAAAATCAATCGCCTTTCATCCTCAAAAAAAAAACACAAAACTCGTGGTGAAAATCTTCGATAGCAAATTTTGTTGTTCTATGCAATCAAAAGATGAGTTAACTTGACTCACAGCCTTTATTTTGATAATATAATATAAGAG